AAATATTTTACAGATAGGTGTCTCTCCTATGGAAGACAGGGAGAGATAAACACACTAAGTTAAATCCAGTGGGTGGAAATAATGTCTTTGTATATTTGATTTATGTAAAAATGCCTACGATGTTTGAGAAGACTTAGCAAATTCCTTTTGTGTTCCAAATCAGGAAGAATGATGGCTAGTCTGCTTCTTCTATATGGTAGTCAAAGTTTTCTAGAGTTTTTATTTTTCTGAATGAATTACCTTGTGTTTTACTTCATGATCTTTCATTATTAAGAGGAAAAAAAAAAAGAGGAAAGCTTAACTGGGGATGAAGAGGTCTTTAAAATGATTTTGTTGTGCCAAAAGTCTATATCAACTTGCTTTTCAACATTGTGAAATATGGCTAAATACCCCAAATCTAAGTCTATCACAACTCTCTGAAGAATAGGAATATGTATTACATGTATGACATCATGGTCAATGATTTCCAAGTTGATTTTCTATGGTGCTTTTGAAACAAAACTATTGGTGATTTTCAGTATGCAAAGAATAATTCTGATTTAGAAACTGCCTACACATGCACATGGATCTGCTTATATTCATCTTTAAAACTGGAATTAAAATTGTGCATATTACAGTTCTGCTTCTGATCAGATTCCTAACCTTAGGTAGGTGAGGTAACCTCTCTGTTCCTCAAATTCTTTATCTATAAAATACAATGATAATATTACCTTTATTAAGATGAAATATTGTATAAGTCTCTTGAAAATGAATGTACAGAAAAAAAGGACTTTTTCTCCCTTTAAAACAAATGTTTCCTGAGTATGTCATAGTTTGCAAGTTACTCTGAAACAGTTTTAAATTTGGAAGAGCTAATGTGCTAGCAGTATGTTTATTCTAGAATTAAAAAAAAAAAAACAAAACATGCTTATTTGAGGGTAAAACAAGCAAACTTTGCTTTGAAATGTAGATCTATACCTACTATAGCAGATAATCTATACGCATTTGGTTGGATGTTTGAACCTAATTATACATATGTACTGGGCTTCCCAGGTGGCTCAAGTGGTAAAGAATCCGCCTGCCAATCCCAGAGAGACTGTCTGATCCCTGGTTTGGGAAGATCCCCTGGAGAAGGAAATGACAACCCACTCCAGTATTCTTGCCTGAGAAGTCCCATGGACAGAGGAGCCTGGTGGGGTTGAAAAGAGTCAAACACTGACTGAGCATGCATGCATACATATGTATGTGTGTGTGTGTGTATTTTTTCCCCCAATAATGACATTTGAAACTCAAGAGCTCAGAAACTCAAGAGCTCAGGTTACTTTTTTAAGAGCTCGGAATTTAAGCCAAATCCTCCTATTTCTGCCTAAATTTCTCCCAGTGTGCTTATTATGTTCGCCATCTCTCTGGCATATCCTTTCCCATGTATTAGAAACTTAAAAGGAAATAACAGAAAAACTACAAGAAGTCCTAGTGTGTGTGTTGCACAGGGACCTAGGTAGCCAGTTCTGATCCCAGTATTGAGATGTGGAATGTGTTTAGATAGGAAAAAAGAGCTGCATTATAGCTTAATTATGGCTGCATTATGGCTTAATCAAGCAAGGTAAAATAACTACCCAGTATGACAGCCTACAAGTACCAGGTTTAGCACAAGTTTAGTAAATAAGTTAAATCATGTTCATCTCCTAATATCACACTAGGCCTTTTAAAAATGTACAGAGAAGTATCACAACATTGTAAAGGAATTATACTCCAGTGGAGAAAAAAAAGAAAAAAAACTGTACAGAGACCTATGAATGAGACAGGTACCATCTCACTGTACTCTTCAGGAGAATGAAAGAGAAAATGACAAGATCTCAGGAATTTTACCGAAGAGCATCACCGAACAGCCAACAGTATATTCTGATTTCAGTTGAGGAGGAAGGTAGCTGCGGAAGACTGTTTATACAGAATAAGCAGGGGACCAGCATCACCTCTGCCCCACGGGAAAGCTTTCCTCTTCTACAACATTTGTCTTACATCTCTTCTTACTTATACACTTATACTCATCATCAGTTATTTTTTCATCCCTATCTTGCGTGTGAACGTGACCATCTTATTCTGGGTTCAATGCAATTTTTTTTTCCTATTGAATAAAGATTGAATTAGACAACAAGAAAATTAACAGGCTATAGCAATAATTTTTCATTCAGGGCAAAAGGACATTAATAGCAATTAAAACACTTGGTTCTTCTTCCTTAGGGACAGAAATCCAATGTGAATCTTCTTCACTAACACAGGATCTCCAGAGATGAGCAGGAGCAGCCTCAAAGAACTGATTTAGCAAAAGGCCTGGAGAAGTATGGGCTTCCCTGAAGTATGGCTCAGTGGTAAAGAACCTGCCTGCTGATGCAGGAGGCACAGGTTTGATCCCTGGTTCGGGAAGATCCCTTGGTGAAGGAAATGGCAACTCACTCCAGTATTCTTGCCTGGAAAACCCGTGGACAGAGGAGCCTGGCAGGCTACAGTCCATGGGGTCGCAAAGAGCTGGACATGACTTAGCGACTGAACAACAGCACCAACCAACAGCAATTAGTGAAGTATAAAGTTTAGCCACAGGTCTAGAAAAGTCAAAGCAAATCATAAGACTGCATGGGGACAACTTGGAACTTTCAGAGGTCTATGTGATTACTATTATTAGTGTGCTACTTGAGGAGAGAAACAGAAAGTGTTAAGTATTACTTCTTTTTAATTTGTTTTTGTTTTTGCAGATGAGAGAAAATTAAAATTATATTAAAATGCAAAGGGTGTTAGAAGAAGAAGAAACCTTACTAACCTTCTAAAGATGAAAATATACTGCGGTCTCACTAGAACAGTCTTATTCTACATCTCTTTTTACAGACTTATTATTAATAGTGCCCTTTCATTCTAAAAAGTGTCTTGATTAGGTGATAAGTTATATGGTTATGTTACAGCACAATGCTCTCATTTTACAAACAGGGTAAAATCTGTTTCTTCATGTCTAACCCAGACATGCACAGTGAACATGTCATTAACTGCTGAATTCCCAGGACACTGCTTTGTTCACCTCACCATGCTACCCTCTCAAAGTACAGGACTGATAATTTGATAGAAATAAGACGTATGGAACCTGTGGATTTCACTAATAAAATAACATCACTACCTTTGAGCTGCTCAAGCCATTGCAATTTACAGGTGATGAAAATGTGCTTTGAATGTGCAAACTGTAGTCCGCTATTATCTCCACTCCAAAGGAAAATTCACACTTCCCCCACATCTGCTATATGTCTATTCTTAGCTACATGCAGTGGGCAGACCATTAGTTCTCTCCATGCCGGTCTCAGGCATGACCATCTTGTTTCCAGGCTCAATGCACTTTTTCTTCCACTCATAAGTAAGTATTTAAAAAAAGAGTTGGAATTAACTCACTATGGCAACAATGAACAAGCCATGGCAAGAATTTTTTAGTATAGAACTGGAATCAGTAATGAATAAGTTAAATCACTGTATCTGTCTTCCTTAGAAACTTAAATAGTCAACAGTTTTCTTTTGATTGATCTTACCAACTAATACACAATTTAAATTTTATTTCAAGTTGTACAGAGTAGAAAAAAAGTTATTTTAAAATCACAAGCCTGGTTTCCATGAAGCTAAAACTGCATATAAATTTGTTAATGGTAAAACAAATTAAAAACCATCATATTTCCAATTGAAACTCAAGATAAAATTTATAAAAAGGATGCAAAAAAACATGAGTACTAACAGAAGCGCGCACATTAAAGACATTTCTTGAACTCTCTAAAGTAGGAGATAAGTTATACCCATTAAATCACCAAACTGGTTTCAAAATGCCCATAAATATTCCTAATCAATCAACAAAACAGTATTCCACAGCAAAGTGTATATATTAGCAATAACATCAAATCACTCTTATCAAAAAGAAATTTACTAACTTATTAATAATATAAACCAACTCACTGACAAATTTCTAACATAACTCTATCTTGCTCTTTTACCACTAAAGGGAAATATTTGTTTCTTCTTAAGAAATCTTTGAAAAATTGTTAAAGTCTTAACAATTTATTTTTATTGGCATATATTCTAACAAGTTTTATAATAACTTCAGAGAATAAATACTGATGATGTAAGCACTTAGAATAAATATATGTAGCTGAACTAATCATTATATACAACAGTCTTTTCCTAAGGAAGGCAGAGAGTTCCTCCTATATGAGACCGAAGTTAAATAAAAAGTAATTTTTGTCCCTTGGGAATTTATGATAATGGATTTCCTTACAGACAAATACAACATTAGATGCATTATCAATAAGTTATGCATATTTAAAACTGCTTTCTTATGAATTTGCACTGACTTAATTATCCTACTAATAAACACTCTCAATTATCTTTCTGATCAACAATATCGTACTTGTTAAGATTCTTTGTTAAGTATGTAGCCTATAATTACAAAATAAAAAGCAGGCAAGTAGCCCACATGAAACAAAACCCACTTATTTTCCCTGCCTCTTTCATCTGTCAGACTAAAATAAGTAATCCCCAAATTTCAAGTTAATTTATAAATTTAGAAAACTGAAAACTATAACAGAAAAATACATGATGACAGAAATAACATCAACTAAATATATATTATCTCTTCATGTAGTTTGCATGTTTGTACAATGATTCTGTACTAGGTTAGGAAAAAATGAGAATCATAGGAATTCAACAAAAGGACAGAGACTGTTAAAGAAACAAATATTTCCCTTTATTTGATTACATTACATCTACTCATGGGACATTCGGAATAACTGAAGTTCTCAATTTACAGATCTATAAATAATGCTATTTAACCAAAATCCAGCCAGCCAATAGCACCATATACTTGAAGAGCTTACTCATGGAAAAGTAATTTCCACACCAAGTCAGTTTAGTCGAGTATAACAGTAGACTCAGAATGATCAGCATTTCAGAATCAGAACAGTTACACTCAAGAGTACTTTATCAAGAGTGATTTGCCTTACTCCTTCGCCAGCCGCACATTGGATGTTTTTGCTCCGATTGGTATTCCGTATTTGTGCAAAGTGTTAATCAAAATCTCCCTCATGTCGTCGTTGTAGGAATCAAAGTCAAACACGTTCCTAACCACACTGGACAGACCTTCAGTGGGAAATTTCTGTATTAAAAAAAAAAATTTTCACTTATTACCATGTGATAAAATACACAGTATTATAAAGATTTCCCAAACTGACAGAACAATAATGATTGAACAAACTTCACTAGACCTTTTCTACTAGACTTGGCAGATAAACAGATAGGAGGAATGCTTTTCTCTTTTAATGTTTGCCCTGATGACTTAATACTTTTCTTTTTCAATAAATATCAGAATTTGAGGGGGAACAGTATTTTCTCTCAAATGTTAAATCAGCACCCACATCCTGGGGTTTGGTGCCTTTCACCACTTTCTGAAATCTCCTGCCTTTAAAGTGAGTGCTGAGCTTCCCTGGTGGCTCAGTTGTAAAGAGTCTGCCTGCAGTGTGGGAGACGCAAGCTCAATCCCTGGATTGGGAAGATCCCCTGGAGGAGGAGATGGCAACCCGTTCCAGTATTCTTGCCTAGAGAATTCCATTGGGCTACAGGCCATGGGGTCACAAAAGAGTCAGACATGACTTAGCGACTAAACAACTAGATGGACCAAATTTAAAAATGCTACTTAAATAAAATGAGTGTTACAGACAGCTGACTCCACACTGGTGGGGTCCTCTAGGTCATTCACTGCCTCTGTCTTGATTCTCTCTAGGGCTGGGATCTCAGCTGGACTTGCCATGGTTTTACAGGCAGAACAAAGCTTTCTATTTTCCCGTCTAGGTTTTCAGAGGTCAAGAGTTCATTAGGTTATGACTGTTTGCTTGGAAACCATCATTTGTTACAAAAGCAGAATCTACACAGGCTTTTTGTCTTCTTTACCAAGGTGAAAAGTGAAAGTGAAAGTCGCTCAGTTGTGTCTGACTCATTGCGATCCCATGGACTATACAGTCCATGGAATTCTCCAGGCCAAAATACTGGAGCGAGTAGCCTTTCCCTTCTCCAGGGGATCTTCCCAACCCAGGAACTGAACCAGGGCCTCCTGTATTGCAGGCAGATTCTTTACCAACTGAGCTATCAGGGAAGCCCTCCAAGGTGAACTATGCATCATAGATGGCTATAAGGAATTTCATTCTCTTGCCCACTTGCTCCATCCAACAAAACTTTCTCACAATATTTACAGGTATGTCATCAATACTAATAGTTTCCAGTCAGTTTTTTATCTTCAAGGCTTTCATTTTCAAAATGAAAATATTTTCACTCAGAGACCATATATGCTTGTTGTATAAAGTCAAATTGTAGTAAAGCTTCCCTTCTGTCTCACTCTCCTATCTTCCCACACCCCCCAGAAAACCTCCACCAAATTTCCTAGCTCCTTGGTAATAGCCATGGCGTGGAACCTTGACAAAGTCAATTCAAAGGTTAACAGAACATGTTCATTTGGATTACAGACGTTTCATACTATATCACCTGATCAGTATTAAAGAGAAATGGAAAGACTTGGTATAAATTAATCAAAAAACAAACAAACAAAAATCTAAAAAAACCAAGATTGATGACTTCTTATAAACTTTTACATACAGGCAGGTGCCATACCTGCAAATGCTTGACTATGTTGACAACCTCTCTGGTAGAATAAGGGTAGTTAATAATACCCTGGTCAGCTAAATTCCTCAGCTCTCCAAAGGCAGCGACGAGCTTCTGAAGGATGGGCTCAGGCACATCTGGGCCGTACTGCCTGAGCATCTTGAGTTCTGAGTAGGGTTTGGGATTATCCACTGCATGGCAGCTAAAAATATCACCTATGAGGAAAAAAAAAAAAGATTCACATTCAGTATGCAACTAACCCCTTATAAGGACATAGCAAATACAGAATGATCAATGAAAGAGCCATGGGTTGCTCTCCAAAGCACTTCTATTTTTAAATGTGTAAAACTGCATAGAAAGCCTGTCCAACAATAGGTATACAGAAAAAAGCAAATGACTAAAAAAGCAAAAGCAAATGAGACTGAGTGGTGTGTGGTTTATTCTACATAGATTTATTTCTGTTAAAAATTATATGATACTTGGATATAATCTCACTGGTAGATATTCAAGCACAAAGAACAGAAAGAGAAGTCCCTATGAACTTCTGCCAATCCCACTCCTTCCCCCACAGGCACCCAGGGTTCACAGTTCAGTGTATTCATTTTTTCATACCTGTCAGTATTTAATATTTATTTATTTTTAATTGAGTCATGATTGCCTTACAATATTTGTCTTGCTAGTATTTTTAAATGCATACACACACACACACACACACACACACACACACATATATATATATATAAATCACTCAGTCATGTCTGACTCTTAATGACCCTATGGACTGTAGCCCGCCAGGCTCCTCTGTCCATGTGATTCTCCAGGCAACTGGAGTGGGTTGCCATGTCCTACTCCACTGTATGTCCATACATACAAACATACATAGTTTTGATAATTTAGTCTTTTTCTATTAACTGGAAAATACTCATGTGGTTCTGAGATTACACTTTTAACTTTATAACACATGGTAAATATCTTCAGAGATTATATACATATATGCGTGCCCTTTTTATGTATACTAAAAATGGGGAAATTAGTATCATCACTCTCTAAACAATGTATATCTTGTTCAGATTGCTAGAATACACTTTATAAGTTGGTTTCAGAGAAGTAAACATGCAGAGATAATATCTAAGTAAAAATCAAGGAAAAGGAACTGGAAACAAAATATTTCACCCATAATTTAGACAACTGAGAATATACTAGAAAAATATAATCTATGCTCAAGAGAGAGAAATTTCTCAAATAAAAGTTCACATAATTTTGATTTAAAATCCAAAGGACAGGGACCAAAGGAAGTTAGAGTAAATAGATTTGCATTATTTAATATGTTCATTTGAGAAAGGAAGGATATTTAGAACTTACTTTGGCCCAGGAATGACTCAAATCATTCTTTTATTATTATCATATATTCATGAAAGCAACTGAATAAAATGCAACCATGATAACTTCAAGCTTGTATCTCATAGGTTAAACTCATTCAAATACAAACATGAAATACAGCTTTGGCCTTTTTTTTGGTGAAAAGCAAATGCAACACTAATATAAAGCTATAATCGACCCCTTATTCATTCACTCAGCGAATAATGATTAAATTCCTTCTATGTGCCAAGTAATACTCTATGTACTTTATAGACCTCCTGTGATCAAAAACACACAACCTCCTGTCCTCATGGAGTTCAGATTCTGGCGTAGGGAGGCAATAAACAATAATTGCAAATGTTAGAAATTATATGTTTTAAGGAAAAAAGAACAGCGCAGTACAGTACTTGAGGAATGGTGATGGCGGGGGACGTCAGACAGGTGGGCCTCACGGAGAAGGTGACAACTAGACAAATGCAGGTATGTGATGGAGGAGCACGGCAGGCACAGCTAATGCCAAGACCCTAGGCAAGCACAGCTGCCAAGTTCAGAGAAGGGGCAGCGGGCAGAGAGGCTGGAAGAGCGTGAGCGACGGGACAGCAGCACGGAGCAGGGCAGGAAGCAAGGCCAGTGAGGTCAGGGGATGTGGGAGACTCGTCCGGGGAAATGCTGCGCATGTTGAGCATATTCGTGTACACGCATCCCTCTTGCCTTTTATTTTCTATTAATTCAAATGGCAGACTACTACACAAACTGTTCTTATTGTTTCACTTAATACATTTCTAGGAATCTTTTTGTTCTTTGGTATCAGCATGTAAACTCATGCTCCACTTTTTTTTAAACAACTGCATGGTAATCTACTGAGTGGATATAATAGAATTTCTCCATTCAGTCCCATTAGGATGTACATTTGGGTTGTTTCCTTTTACTTCTGCAACTATAAACAATGCTATATTGCCTATCCTTGTACATAAAGCATTGCACAGGGAATTTCCTTGGATAAATTCCTTGATGTGGAATCGCCAGATCAAAAATCCTACTAGGAGACTGAGCCTGCTTCACGTTGAGTATGGAATGCTTCACGTTGAGTATTCAGAATGAGCTACTTGTCACAGAGAAGAGAAGTTCTTCTTAAAGGTTCCTGATGATCCAGTTTATCCCAGGGCCTCTCCAATCAACGTGAGTCAGTCTCCTCAGGGCTGGCCTCAAACCTTTTCATAGTTAGGGGGATGTGATGAATACCAAACACTAAAAACCCTTCTTAATCTGTGTTCTACTCTAAGACAATCTATAGTCTTAGACATGAACCCAAGTTCTAAGACTTATTATCTGAGTGACCCTAGAAAAATAATCTCTCCAAATATCAGACATTCTCTTCCTCTAAAATGGGGATAAAAATACTCTCACAAAATGGTTGTGATGCTGAGAGCACATGGGAGCAATTAGTCAGGAACATTCAGTGACAGCCAATATACATTGTTACTAAGATGACATTATTATTGTTATTGCTATTGTTTTGGTTATTATTATCATTATAGTTTTTACCTAAGGTACCGAAGAAATCATTGCCTAGGAAAGGAAATCCAGGTCTGTTGGCCAGAACAATCATTCTAAAATCAGGATGAATCACTACAACATTTTCTCTTCCATTGACTAGTGCAGCATCTGAAAAAAAAATTTCAATTTATTCTTTACTGATATTCAGTAATTCAATATCAATTCAATATCAAGTTATAAATTCAACATCAAGTTAGAGCTTTTAAAATCACATAAGCAGTCATATAGTTTTATAACTAGAGGGTTGTAAAACAACTCTAACAAATCTGGTCAGGTGGTCTGGTATTCCCATCACTTGAAGAATTTTCCACAGTTTATTGTGATCCACATAGTCAAAGGCTTTGGCATAGTCAATAAAACAGAAGTAGATGTTTTTCTGGAACTCTATTGCTTTTTTGATGGTCCAGAGGATGTTGGCAATTTGTTCTCTGGTTCCTCTGCCTTNGCTTCTCTTCTTTTCACAGATGTGAAGTACCTGGAGTTTTATTGAGATGAGTCTGTAAGAAGTTATACCCATACTTCTTGATGATAACAAAAAGTAACCTTTCAATGTGCCATAGATTCATGTACTGGTAACACCATTAGTTTTAACATTTGATCTTCATTTATTTTAGTAGTGGTAAATAACAAGGGTATGTGGTCACATGAAAAATTTAATTAGTTAACTAACATAAAAATGGCAATAAAACACGAAAACTTAAAAAAAGCAAAGAAAACGAAAAACATAGGCATGGAAGTGATGCTTTATGAAACTATTTTCAAAAGAGCTTCAGCTGCTCTTGTGCTTAAAATGTCGTCTACAATCAAACTTGAATTTAAAAATTATGATGATGACTCCTTTGCTTCTAGATTATCTTTCAAAAATATATCTAAAAAATGTAAAGGGCTACCAGGAGACTGTCTCTGTTTAATCACAAGTTTATTCCAGTAGTTCTTTCTTGCTTTCTATTTCACTGTCCTTATAATGCCTCTAAAAAGGGCAGGCAGCATTCAAATCTTGAGAGTCTGAATGATTTTCTAAACGATAGTTATCAGGCTGTTTAACTCAAATTCTCACTTTTTCCTATACTCATTGTGAAACTGCAGTCTCAGAATACTTTTATTAGTGCTAAGTTTCCTAGGTTTAGACGCAGCAGTCTTGCAATGACAATGTCCAAGAAGAAATCTCTGTGGTGATGGACTTGTACATTTTATAGACTCTTCTGTACATACTTTTTGAATATTGAAAATTTCAGTCATTAGTCCCAATTTGTTTGGCTACCTTGCTATTGCCTATATTTCAGTGGCTAGTTAAAGATCTTCAAGTCTTTTCATCACACAAAAATTAAAAACTAGAAAATGTTCTCACATTGCACTACGCAATTTTTTCCTATGGGTTAAACAGACTTATGAGATTTATCTATCTACATTTTCCCTAACAACCACAAAAATAAAAAGAAGGTACTCCAAAGTACAGTAACTTCTTTCTGAGGCAAGTGTGTATGTTGTGTGAGTGTGTGTGTGTGTGTAATATATATGCATACATATATATATATATATAACTGATGTTAAATGCCCAGCAATTTTTTTCTAATTATACTGAGCTAATAATAACATTGATTTTAACATTATAAGTAATAAAAACATGGTAGAGCTTTAAAAATTCCAGATAATAATGAAAGAAAATAAATTGTACACAAATAATTGAGACATAAGTATAAAAGGGATTATATGTTTGTATTCTCAGAGTAGAAAAAATATGAAGCTGATTTGTCCTAAAGCTACTCTTGAAATTTTCAAAGATACTCTCCGGCTATTAGGAAGTGAAACTGACAAAGTTAGATTCAGACATATTGATTTTTATTAATAATTATCAATACAGACAACTTGACTTATACTAAATTTATGCTTGTTATTTGTAGATAAGCAGCCGGCTAAGTGTGTGATCTGATACAACACAGGTAAAAAGTGCACATTGAAAGAAAAGTTGCTTTTTTATACTCACTTGCAACAATGCGTCGTCCATCTGCTAGAATCATTTCTCCATTTTCTACCAGAGTCTTTAAAATACAGGTGACATTTGTTGGAGCCTTGTCTGCCTCATCTACTACCAGAACATGACCCAATTTTACTGCTTTAACCTTTGAAGACAGAACATTTATTGTAAACAAAACAAACAAACAAAAAAAATGAAAGCAAACGTTTTAAAAATTACATCACTCATTGCTTTGGATTTGTAATAGATGGTGTTCTGCAAGCTATAAATATAAAATCACAAAAAATGTCTGTAGCAGAGTTGGAAACAGTATTTATGGATCTCCACCAAAAGCTTCTCATAGTTACTGAACTGCGAACTCTGCAGTAATCACTTTATTTTCTTGCAGCATCCTAATTAGCCCTATGTTGGCAATGTTCACATTTTACACCCCCAGGAAGGGGATAATTAAAACAAGTATTGACATATCAAATAGAGAAGTTAAAGGGCTGTGGGGGCAAAGAGGAATGATTGTGATCATCAATACTGGATATCAGAACACTGCACTTGTGGTAGCCTTAAAAGAGTGCACAGTTTTAAGAGATCAGTATGTATAGTGGAGAAACGGGCAGTCAAGACAAAGAGAATCAATGGTCAAACTCAAGAAATCTGCACCCTACTGAGGGAAGAGTGAATATGAACAGTCTATCTTGGCTGATGCAGAGGTTAAACGTAAGAAAAGAAAGAAAAGGATCTGAAAGTGCAGATCAGGTCTTGACTAATAAAAACTTGACTGCAAGTGTGCTTTGTCTCATTAAATAACAGGAAGAGTTAAAGATTTATGAGTTCAGACATGATAACAAGTTTAGAGCTACAAGTCAGTGCCTTTAATCTTGCAGAAATATGCAGAATAGACTAGAGGGGGAATATCATAAAAACTTGGTTAAAAAAAGTGATGTGAGGATCTGATTTTAGGGAAGAGGGCATGGGTAAAAAATGGAAATAAAAAGCATTATATTATCTGAAGAAATATTCAGAGGTGTATTCTATAGCCTTGGCAACTAATTAGATGGGAAGAGGTAAAAGGAAAAATAAGAGAGTTCAGGTCTTGGATGACTGAGTAAATCAGATGAAAAGATAGGAAAAAAGCTAGGAAAAACTCTTAAAAACATTTAAAAAGACTGGATAGTAGATACTCAATGAACTTCAATGTAAACACAGGGATTATTTTTTTTAAATAGTAAGAAACAGCTCATAACATAAAATGGAGCATATCATAAACTTTTCTCATTACATGATTTTGGCAAATAATTTTAAAGAAACACAGATTGAGAAATAGGTGATTCTCTCTACCACAAATATCTTATTTCATATTCTAAAAATATGAATAAGAATTTTTCTTTTTAACTTTAGGGTAAAAATAACCTGAATTTTAAAAAAAAAGAGGGACAACATATAGCTTCTACCCCCAGCTCCAGCCTTCACATCTCTGTTCAGAGAAAGTCAGTCCAGTCTGGAAGGACTCAGACAGGAGGTCCTGAAGATGCCCATCACCGGGGTCTGGACCCCAGAGTTGTCATGATGGCTTATCTGTGTCATTGCTGGAGAGCAGTTATCTACACAGAAAGACATGCCTGGCAGAACAGGATTTTTTTTGGGGGGTGGGGCTCTTATGTGAGAAGATAAGGAATGATCTTCCCAGCTGTCCAAAATGTTAGGCTAGTATTTTACTCATTAAAATCATTTTAAAAAACATTCCAGAAGCATTATCTAATTTCAAAGTCTGCACATCTGAAAACAACAGCAAACTTTTTTTCCTTTTTGAAAGTTCTGGAATGGAAAAGTTATCATTAGAGTATTTCTATCATTCCCTAAATCTCTCTCTGGAGAGAGGAACAGAATAAGAAAACATGTTATTTTCCCAGTAATTTGCATTTAAATATCCACTCTCCAGATGACATATGAATGAGTGTTTTCTAGTTAAGACTGAAACATATTGGAATCAATGGGATATTTCTTCCCCTCAAAGGCTGAAATATAATTATCATTCAAAGAACACAGTTGAGAATATTCATATAACTGCATTACTAACCAAAGGTGAGTCTTCATATACAATAAGTCCATCTTTAACAGAAGGCTGAAGAGTAAGTGTTTGGACTGTGGTGTCCCTAAAGTTAAACCAACAGATTTTATAGTTAGTAAAGAAATAAAATGACATTTGATCTCGAATAAAACACGAGAGCATTTCTCTTTTTCTTCCTTTAGTTCACCATCCAGCTTCTCCCAAGACGAATAAAAAAGCAAATGAAATTCCACTTAGCAACAGTGTTTTGTAGATGTTGATATAAGTTATAAAGGCTTGGGAATTACCCCAAGTTTACAAATTATCCAGGCTCTTTACTTCTCCATTTCCCAGTAATTTCCCTATGACCATTTTACTCTTTAAAATCGCCCCCTGAAGATGAAAAGGAGAAATTGAAAATAAATATTTGCATTACTTATACAATATTTATATTATTTAAAAATAACCTGATGATGAGTTTGGTGATTACTGGCATGCTGATGAGCCTGATTAAAGAGAGTCTGTGAATTACACTTCGTGGCCCAACCGGCCATCACGCAGGACCACTTTACCTCACTCCAGCAGACACGGGATTGGGAACATTTCTGCTGGGACTACGGCAATTCATTTCATTTTCTTAAGTCTACCTACTACTGTCTACCTGACTTTCCTCTAGATCAGGATTTTCAAAAGTATTAACAGTGAGCTACCTAGATGTTATCCAACTCCACACATGATAAGATACGAAGTTCACATCACCTATGAATCTTCTTGCTCAAAATGTTATAGTTAGTAAAGAAATAAAATGACATTTGATCCAGAATAAAACACAAGAGTCATATATCTAATTTCTGGAATCCCGGAACCCCCAAAGTTAACGGAAGGGAAAACTTTAACAACCCCCGCCAAAAAAAAAAAAAAATACATTTTTGGGTTTTAAACAAATAACAGAATTTAGTTAATATCACAAATTCACTCTTCATATTCTGGCAATACAGAAGGGTGGGTGAGGAAAAGAAAGAGATGTGTTCACACAGATTTTTATAGCAATATAGTCAATTTCTCACCTCAGCTGTCACGTATTTAATGGGCAACAACATGACACCTCCCAGCACCGAAATGGAAAAAGGAACTCTTATATCATTATCAGTAGAAACGAAATTCAGTCATTACTTTAATAATTATGGTGCTTCATAGCAGATTAAGAACAGGAAATTAAAGGTGAATTACAAGTTTAAAAAGGCAAATGAATTTGTTCTATAACACGTTAATTCTGAGAGCATACAATTTGGTAAATTAGACTTCTCAAAAGACTTGTGGTAGAAATAAAAAACGTAGGTTTGAGGGAACAAGCACAAATCAGGTGATTCTTAAAAGGGACAAGGGATAAGGATAAATACATATGAGAAACATGGCTTTCAGTGGAGTAGGCAATGAGAAAGAGCAACTTAGAGAGAAAAAGTGGTTTTGTTCCGTTCTTATTATTGGTCCTTTGTCTTACATGTCAAAGGAAAAGCAAAGGCTAGCAAAATATGTAAGGTGATATTCAATTAAAAAAACAGGTTGGCTTATATGTCAGTTCCTTATTATATATGAGTAGAAAATAACTCAGTATCTTCCGCATAGCACTTAATACTACAACAAAAAAAGCTTGAATTTCCCTGGTGGCCCAGTGGATTAGAATCCACCCGCTAATACAGGGAACACAGGTTTAATCCCTGGTCCAGGAAGATTCCACATGCCGCGGAGCAGCTAGGCTTGGGTGTCACAACTTCTGAGCTCACGCTTTACAACTTGTGAGCTTCAAGCCCTGAGCCCACACACTGCAACGACTGAAGCCGGCACACCTACAGCCGCTGTTCGGCAACAAGGGAAGCCACTTCAATGAGAAGGCCACAGACCGCAGCAAAGGAGAACCACTGCAACCAGAAATGTATAAATGTGTATTTTTTAAAAGCTTGTTTTTCAAGGCATCTTACCATATTATAAATTTCAACTCAGTAAATGATGACTACTGTCGCAAGTAGCATATGAGTGAAAGTGAGAGTTGCTCAGTGGTGTCCAATTCTTTGATACCGCATGGACTATACAGTCCATGGAATTCTCCAGGCCAGAATACTGGAGCTGGTAGCCTTTCCCTTCTCCAGGGGATTTCCCCAACCCAGGGATCGAGCCCAGGTCTCCTGCATTGCAGGTGGATTCTTTACCAGCTGAGCCACCAGGGAAGCCATGAGAGAAGAGCGTATAAATTGACTTTTAAAGACAATATAATGATTCTTTTTCAGGAAATATTTGACTAAAATCATTCCTTTAGTTTTAGGAGCATCATAGTAATTCTCCACACAAATAATCAGTGACCCTAAGAGAATATTTTATTCGATACAGTTTCAATTCTATTATGATTTGTTCCTCTCAAGAACAGTTTTGAAATATAAGCTCATAAAAGCTGAAGTACAGTCAAAATTTCAACAATACTGGGGAAAAAAAAAACACATCTTAGTAACAGTTTTTAGCCTACAGTTTAATAAAGAGACATCTCTCCAGGACATAACAGTTACCAGCAATGCTTGAGGAATTAATTAGAATGTTCAGCTAATTGCTGACATTTATGTTAGCACCAATTGTTCTCACTTACTAGTTTACAAACTGAAGTTGTCCATCAGTTAAAGCCTGTGTTGATAAAGAGGCTACTCAAAGAAACATGGTGCTAAACTCTAGTCTTATTTTAACTCTGTGACTTTAAAGTTTATTTAAGTTGGAGTTATTAACGCTTCAATAGTAATTTAAAATGATTCCAGATGCAATAAAAGTGATTAGATTGAATAAAGACCAAGTTTTTATCAAAATAAGGACAGCAAATTGGCCACTGGAGAGCAAGCACAATCCATTCCTGCGTCTTTGCTAATAAAGGTACATTAAGCTAATAAATTCTAATTTATTGAGGAGCAAAAGATCTCAAAATAGCAATGTCTGCTTTGAGGATGATATTTTAGTAAGTTGTATTTAAATTGGCTTACGGTTAGTTGTCTTTTAGAAAAACAATAATAGTTAAGCACAAGGGTGAAGGAAGAAAAAAGACACACAGGAGTTTCAAATAGCTAATAAAAATCTTATCTAACTTTGCAGTTCATTAAAATAGAGATGGCTAAAGTAATAATAGTCCATTCATTATTATAAACCAAGCATGAGAAAAGAAAGATAGAATATGACTCACAGGAGGCACTTTACAAATATTTGCTTGACATTTTAAGAAGCGGGATGATTATGAAAATAGAATCAAATGGTACTTTTTAAAAATTAGATATAAGCATAAAATTACTGTCTGAGAAATAAACGCTGTTGAAGGATATTTGAAGTGAAGAAGTCATGGCATTATCAAGACTATCATTTCTACAAGGACAATTTTAAAACAAGTAATGAAATAAAGATAAGAAGTACTAATAATCATTATCATTAATAAAAGAAGAGAGTGGTAACTTAGACAAAGCGGATGCAAACAAATTTGAGAATTAATGTTTACAAACATTCTGTGCTCTCTTAACACTTCCTTCCTGCCTTGCCTACAAAAGACAAATTTATTTTGCTAAGTTGGGAAAGAAACTTCCCTGAGCCCTCAAACAGAAATAATCACTAACATAAGCAGTGTTGCCATACAATCCAAAAAAAAGAAGATACAAATTAGCTGTGATCGTTGCAGGGTTAGTTAAAAACCAGCGCTGGTCTATTAATAAACAGTCCTCCTAGTTTTGTCAATTACTTCAACTTTCTTGTTTTTAAATCACTTAAACTCTTTTTAAAAATTACTATTTTTTTTTTCAAGCACAAGTATATATTTATTAACTTTTTGTGTTGTTGGGGTATAGCCAATTAACAATGTTGTGATAGTTTCAGGTGGACAGCCAATCAGTTAAAACTCCTGAAACCCAATATTATTCATCTCTACAGAGGGGAATTAAAATAGAACATTTGAGGAAATATAATAAAAAGTTAAGAAGACAAGAGTGAGAAAGAGATATTATTAAATGTGCTTTGAATGCTGTGAGGGAAAAGCCTTTTTCATAAGGTAAACAAAATATTATTTCTGTCAAAGTGACTGAAAAGACTCCAGCTCTTAAAATAGTTCTTTTGGAGGACAAATAGTGTATTTAGTCGTCAAACACTCATCACTAATATGTCCAGATGCATAAACTCCTAACAAACCGTAAAAGGAGGGAAGACATTGGGGGATTATGTTTATGGAAGGGAGTCGAATGTGGTAAGCCCTTTGCTCTCCAGAGGTAGGCTTTTCTGGGTACAACAGGTAGAAAATGGCCACTGCAAAACAGTCATTTGATGGAAGCTAAAATTTTTGAAATATTAATAGTTTTCAAACTCTACTTACCTTCCTTACCACATCTCCCAGCAATATATTAACACTTATTTAAAAAGAAATTCCTTCAATATTCAAAGTCACACTGACAGTCAAAGCTTTAACAAAATCTCAATGTTTTGTAAGTTGTCTAGTCTTTTTTAAAATAAATATACTACTAATATTTAAAATGGGATCTTTTGTCTTTACTCTGAAAACTAGCTTAGTGGCTTGGGAAATTTTAGGGTACTCAAAAAGACCTAATTTCTTTGTAGGAATTTCATTTTTCTTTTCTAGAAACAAAAAAAGAAAAATAGTATGTAGGTCCCTTATTTATCTTTTCCCCTGACATTACACAATGCATTTTCTAATCACTGTTTAAAAAGGAAAAGAATGAAATGCAGACTAAAATATTGATACAAAACTGAACAAGTAAAAAAATTAAAAAATTAAGTGAATATATTTTCACATCAGGACATGAGATAATTGTTCATTCAATAAATATTTATTGAACATCTACTAATGGGTACTGCTTTAGATAAGAAGGATAAGTCCCTGTGAAAGTACAATTCTTTCCTTTGCTGAGCTTAAATTCCTAATATATTTAAGTGAACTTATTTTTACCATACTAACGATATACCACCTTTGGCACAGTATAAACTGGATCCTGCATGAAATTAAATATCAAAAGATAATTTACGATAGGCAATTCAAGATAATGTTAAAATAAATATTTTTGACCACTGAGACAAACAATA